AAAGAAAACATAACAGCGTTTCCTGTTTAGACTTTTGTCTTCTGGTAGAGAATATTCTGAGTGTGTGTGACTTTTAAATCACTTTGTTAATGCAGCAGTTTTCTAAACCAATGAACACAGTAATGTCATGTCCTCGCTGTGCTATGTTGGAATGAACTGACCCTTTAACATCCCGGTGTGGGGGGGGCAGGGGGGGTTGAACCTGCATCCTCCTCGCTGTGCTATGTTTGAGTGATCTGATCCATTAACATCCTGGTGTGTGTGTGTGTGTGTGTGTGTGTGTGTGTGTGTGTGTGTGTGTGTGTGTGTGTGTGTGTGTGTGTGTGTGTGTGTGTGTGTGTGTGTGTGTGTGTGTGTGTGTGTGTGTGGGGGGGGGGGCAGGGGGGGTTGAACCTGCATCCTCCTCGCTGTGCAGACTAAAAGCAACAATATAAACATGTTATGTAAGGGTGCAGGCTGCAGGATTAAGGCGTAGTATTACTGCTGTATTGTAGTGATTCAGTGTTATGAGCTGGCATGTATCCATTGGTGGATTTCTTGTCTCCTTTAATCCCTAAAACCCTAAACCCCTCTCTCACTGAACACACGGGACACAAATATGAAGACAGATCTACAGAAAACAAAGTTAACACTCTGCTGCCCCCTGCTGGATGTTATGCTCATTGCTCTTTTATTTTGAAATGATGTGTGCAGGTCTGTGTGGCTGCTGCTGGGCGCTGCGGCCTCGCTACAAGCGGCTGGTCGATAATATTTTCCCAGAAGACCCCGAGGTAAACACACACACACACAAACACACACACACAAACACACACAAATGAACTGACCCCATTATGAAACGTGTGTGTGTGTGTGTGTGTGTGTGTGTGTGTGTGTGTGTGTGTGTGTGTGTGTGTGTGTGTGTGTGTGTGTGTGTGTGTGTGTGTGTGTGTGTGTGTGTGTGTGTGTGTGTGTGTGTGTGTGTGTGTGTGTGTGTGTGTGTGTGTGTGTGTGTGTGTGTGTGTGTGTGTGTGTGTGTGTGTGTGTGTGTGTGTGTGTAGGAGGGTCTGGTGAAGGCCAACATGGAGAAGCTGACGTTCTTTGCTCTGTCGGCTCCGGAGAAACTTGACCGTATCGCTGCGTACCTGTCGGAGCGCCTCACCCGAGACCTGAACCGCCATCGCTATGGGTCAGTACACACACACACACACACACACACACATACAGTCTGTACATGTATTTAACCTGCGTGTGGCGCTCTGCAGGTATGTGTGTATTGCGATGGAGGCGATGGAGCAGCTGCTGCTGGCCTGTCACTGTCAGAGCATCAACCTGCTGGTGGAGAGTTTCCTCAGCACGCTGCGTCTGCTGCTCGAACACGACAAACCACACCTGCACATGCTCGCCACCAACTCTGTACGTACTACTACACACTCTACTACACACTGTATCCTACACACTCTACTACACACTGTATACTACACACTCTACTACACACTCTACTACACACTGTATCCTACACACTCTACTACACACTCTACTACACACTCTACTACACAGTCTACTACACACTGTACTACACACTCTACTGCACACTCTACTACACACTCTGCTACACACTCTGCTACACACTCTACTACACACTCTACTACACACTCTACTACACACTCTGCTACACACTCTACTACACACTGTACTACACACTGTACTGCACACTCTACTACAGACTCTACTGCACACTCTACTACACACTCTACTGCACACTCTACTACACACTCTACTACACACTCTGCTACACACTCTACTACACACTCTGCTACACACTCTACTACACACTCTGCTACACACTCTACTACACACTCTACGACACACTCTACTACACACTCTACTGCACACTCTACTACACACTCTACTACACACTCTGCTACACACTCTACTACACACTCTACGACACACTCTACTACACACTCTGCTACACACTGTACTACACACTCTACTACACACTCTACTACACACTCTACTACACAGTCTACTACACACTGTACTACACACTCTGCTACACACTCTACTACACACTCTACTACACACTCTACGACACACTCTACTACACACTCTACTACACACTCTACTGCACACTCTACTGCACACTCTACTGCACACTCTACTGCACACTCTACTACACACTCTACTGCACACTCTACTACACACTCTACTACACACTCTACTACACACTCTACTACACACTGTACGACACACTCTACTACACAGTCTACTACACAGTCTACTACACACTGTACTACACACTCTACTACACACTCTACTACACACTCTACTACACACTGTACTACACACTCTACTGCACACTCTACTACACACTCTACTACACACTGTACTACACACTCTACGACACACTGTATCCTAAACACTCTACTACACACTCTACTACACACTCTACTACACACTCTACTACACACTCTACTACACACTCTACTACACACGTATCCTAAACACTCTACTACACACT